CATCTTTGACTTAATCATAACAATAATAAAATAATAAAATAATAATAAAGGAATCATAACAATAGACACTGTACATAAAGAGGCATTTCGCTCTCTGCCTACATTGCCTAGCTGCTGGGGCTGTCCTGCAACCTACCTCAGCCCATATACACAAGACACCCTCTAATTTCAGCGCCTGACAGCTTATTTCAGCCTTCCCACATCACACCAACCAACCGCCGTGTCACCCAGCTCTTCCGGGCTCCATCCATAAACAGTACCGGCAGGTTACCACTTCAGATGCTCTCGCTGCCCGCGCCGTCGCACACGCCCCCGAGACTACCGCGCTCGCTGCTACCAGCGCCCGAGCTGCGCGGCGTGTGCAGCATCTCCTCCGACGCCGATCGCGCCAGACACATCCCCGTCGCTTCCGCCCGCCTCCGCATGCCACTCTCCTCCCCCCAGCATCATCCCGCTCATGCTATCCCCCTCCACGGTTCCGCTTCCGCTTCCGCTTCCGCTTCCACTTCCACTTCCTCTTCCGCCGTTCAGCGCTGCCGCCGCTAGGCCCGCCTCCCCGCCCTTCGCCTCCTCCGCGCCCACAGTGTACACCAGATACGTCTTAATCTCCCCAGTCGCGAATCCGTTAAAGCTGGACCCCGCCGCCGCAGTGTACGCGCCCATGTTCGGGAACCACCAAATCGCCGATCGCCAGCTCAGGCAGCGCCTCGTCGCGCAGCACCATGTCCAGCCCGTCGCAAGTCGGACCGAACACCGTCGATGGGAAGAACGCTCCGCCCGCCCCCGCCCCCCGCCGCGCGCAGAGCTCCGCCGCCTCCGCCGCCCTTCCTGCGCTTCCCCCGCACTCCGCCTCTGGGGGCAGGCCCTCCCTAACCTCCGCCTTCTCAAACCCGCCGCCGCCGCTGCCGCCGCCGCTCACGTCAATAACCTCAACCTCTCCGCAGTCCAGGCCGCCGTCCGCGGAAGACCCGTCGGACGCGGAAGCGGATGCGCGCGCAAGCGGGCGCGCGCAGCGTGGCGTGGTCGTAGAGCGCGCAGTTCATGGAGCCGTACAGCCCGTCGTTGATCCAGTACTCGCGCCGCTCGCCGCGCACGCGCCGCCCGAAGACGCACGCGGCGAGCGTGGAGGGCGTCTCGGCGAAGTACCTGCCCGGCTCCGCGATCACCGCCACGCCGCTCGCCTCCGGGAAGAAGCGGTCGAGCGCCGAGTTGATCGCTGCAAAAGAAAGAAAAAACAAGAGCACGATTAGCGAAGACCATCATGAAATGCACAAAACGGAACCCAGGAATGTATTATGGGAAACGAGGCGAGAAAAGCTGGGTGCACCAGTAGCCACCATGGCATTAAAGACTGGTATTCAGGCAACCCACCGTTAGCAGCCGCGGCGAAAGGCATGCCGCCGGAGCATCCTGTGCCAGGTGCTGTGAACCCGCCACCCACGTCAAGCACCGACATGACAGGCATGTCCGCCGCTCGTGCCACGTCAGCGGCCATGTCGAACACTTGGCGCGCCGCGGCGATGGCGCGGGTGAAGGCAGCGGGTCGGCCGCGCCGCTTCCGACGTGGAAGGAAACTCCCACCACGTGAAGCTTGAGGCGCGAGGCGACGGCGAGGAGGGACGGCACCTCGTGCATGAGCGCGCCGTACTTGACGCCGAGGTTGCAGCGAGCCGTGGAGTCGTTGGCTTGCAGACGGAGCAGCAGCACGGCGGAGGGATTCAACGCGTGCACCTGCGTTAGCGTCACACAGAAAAGTACCAGTTAGAAGGATATCAAATCCCGGTAAAAAAAACAGAGATCAGGAATCACGTGCAAGAATGAATCACATAGAGCGTCCTGTATTTGTCTGTCGAGCGGTCTTTGGCATGAAACGGACCTTGACAAGCTCGGATTCGGAGTCGAACGTCGTCGCACGGACACCCATTTCCGAGGCGAAGGTGATGTGCGACGGCATCTTGCAGGGGTTGGCGAAAATGATGCTGTCAGGCGACACACCCATGCTCAGAACCTGTCAAGCAAGCGACAATGTCAACGGTCAGAATCTTAGTAGCTAACTACTAAACGTTATAATGACGCGGAATGTTGCAACGACGGCGTAGAAACTTGCACGCATAGAGATATGGCAACCGACCTGAGAAATCTCGGCCTTGCTCGCGCAGTCGAATCCCGCTCCCAGAGCGGCAAGCACGGAGACGAGTAGCGGGGATGGGTTGCACTTCACCGCGTAGAAAGGCTGGACCCGGGGAAAGGCGGCCGTCCAGCCCTGCAAGGAAACAAGAAACAAATAATCGTCTGTCAGAAAATGACTCGCCAATGTCTCAAGCCAATAAGTTATTGATAAGCAAAACGAGATTCGCTTGGAACCGGAGTACCGACCGTAAAAAGACGGACGATCTCGCCGATGTCCATGACGTAAAACGGATCCTCCAGTCGCATCTCCCGAATGAGCCGCTGAATCTCGCCGTCGATCATTCCCGCTCGTCCAGCCGATGGTGGGGACGACTGGAGAACCTGAATGCGTCCCGCTTCCGCCAAGAAGCTTGGCATGACGACGCCGCGACTGTCAGCACTTGATTCGTTCAGTGGAAGCGTCCCTCCTGGCAGCAGCTTGAATCCGTCAGATCCCCGCATGTCATAATGATCCTGATGATCCTGGTGAACAAGGCCGCCACCCGTGTCAAGATCCATGCGTTTCATTTCGTGGTTACCAGTCGCCCAGGGAAGACCCCATTTCGTGACACGCGGCTTTCGTGAGGTGCTGACGCCACTCCCCGGTTTCGCGGAGAGCGACTGAAGCGAGTTGTCGAGAACGACTCCGAGCTCGTAAGAGTCCGAGTGAAGCTTAGGCTTGAAGAGGTTAGCCGACGATAGAAAAGAGCTCTCTACGACCATCGCAGATCCTGCCATATTGACTCCCGAAGCTACTAGCGAGAAAAGCAGTTGAAAGCTCGAACAGGCTGGAGTGTGCACGCACAGAGCGGGTTCTATAAGGCACTGAGTAGGAGAGCTTGTAGTGAGGCAACCGTAAGAAGAACTCGCAACTTGAATTGCGTGAGTAATAATGCGCTGATCAGCCTGAATTTGAACTCTAGACCAGCAAGAGCTCCTAGCGCGAGCGTCTACTATCAGGAGCTATTCTGATGCTGGATGCGAAGTGCAGTAAGCAATGAGGCATGCAGTCTGTTTCTGGCGCGGAAAACGGCGGCTGAGTTTCAGGAATCAGGAGGACGCTGCTGCTGGGAGGTGAGGTGAATCTCGGGAACAGAGCAATGAGAGGGACGAAAGTTGCGGCGAAGTAATGCGAGATGAATCACGCGTCGCGGTAACCATGCTGCACCAGTCTGGGCCACTTGTTTTCGCGTGAGCGGGTGGCGACGACAGCCGTAGCCGCTACGCGCCTCTTCGTGCCAGGATGGGAATTGCCGTCTGCTGACGACGGCGAAACGCAGGGAACAGGTCAAAGCAAAACGCGTTGTCCTATGCTGCATCAAGTCTACATTTTCACGAACCGTAATTTGAAACACAATATAAAGACAAACTGAAAGCTTGGTCACAACAAAATCGGAAATGAAAATATGCTAGCCAAGGTGCTAGTAGAATCAAGGAGACATCAGCTTCGTTTTTTGGCGATATAGAAGAAGGGTGCAAGGGCAATATTGCACCATGTAAGCACTCACATTTCCAAGGACAACCCTGCTCAAGCATTAGGAGAAAGTAGGGTGACATGACACTCATGCAGGAAAATGGCAATTAGGGAACAACTAAATACGACCAGCATAATTTAGCACGATTGCCACACCACAAATGCTTACCCGCGAACTGAGCCTGTTCCTCTTGTAGCGACTACCAACAGATCGATATGGTTGCGCTCGCAAAAGTCCACCAGTAACGGACGAGGATCGCCCTCAAGCACATGAGTGGACACCTCAAACGCTGCCCCCTGAGAAGCAAATGACGGACAGGAAAAGGGGCAGGTGGCAGCAAAAGAGTGAGAAAGAGAAAGGAGGGGAAATGGGGGGTTGGGGGGCGAGGGGGGGGGGGGGGTGGCTAGGAGAGTGGGGGAGCAGTGAAATTTGGGGGGAAGAGGAGAGAACATGGGAGGAAGAGAGAAAGGAAGCAAAAAAGGTGCATGACCGTGGCACAGAATCCTTAGGAGGCAGAAGGGGAGGGGACGGGTGGTGTCCCTGAAAGCTGCTGTACCTTTGTCTGCAGCGCAAGGGAGATGAGGGCGTCAAAGTGGGGTCGCATCATTGAGTCGTTGGCCTTCTTTCCATCAGCTGCTAGCATACGGTCTGGTATTGATGTTGGCATACGATTGGGGGGGAGACAGAGGGGGGAGGGGGAGGTAGTGAGTCTGGGCAGGACGTTGCGCAAGGAGGAAGACGAAACACATGGAACATACTTGGCTTACCGACTTTTCAAGCAACCGTCCTCCACTAGATTAGTGAGAAGAGGTGCATATTCCATAGCGGAAAGAAGCTTTTCTTCTCTATCCATGGACATATCACCACCCTCAATCCTATTCCCTATTTCCCTATGGGCCCCTACGACCAGCACACCCTGCATGGCATAGCTGGGTTCTCGATCCGCGTGCAGCAAGTAGAGCCGGTCCTCTGCGCGGCACACGTGGTGCAGCACCCACTTGCACGCCTCGCCGCTCGCCTCGCTCCGGTCCAGCCCGACAGCGATGCGGCGCGGGCGGTTGCACTGCAGGCGCAGCTGCTCCTCCTCTGGCGCCATGCGCACCACCAGCACCGGGCCACGGCGCACACACCGCACAGTAGTTGCCCCGGCTGCCCGTCAACATGCTGGGGGATGGGGAGGGGGGTGGATAAGAAGATGGATGCAGGGAAGGATACGGCTCAGGTGAACGCGTCGGCAATTGAAAAGACGACGAGAATGGTACAAGTAGGCAAAAGGGGCCGGGGGAAGGGCAGGGGTGCAGCTGTAGAGAGAAGGTAGTAACGGAGGGAGGAAAGGGAGGGCGGGGGGAGAGGGGGAGGTTAACAGTGGGTGAGGTGAGCAACGAGCATGTGCTGCTGTTCATAGAATGGGCTCATCATAGGAGCACTGCACGATGCTCCTCCTAAGCAGTGCTCCGCTAGGAGAAGGAATATGGTGGTGGGTGGGTGGGTGGGCGGGTGGGTGGGCGGCTATCATGTGGTGTGGTGTGGGGTGGGTGGGGTCACCGGTGAGAGGAGAGTTGGCGCCTGCTGCCGAGCACAAGGAGGTCGATCGTCCCCTATCGGCGCAGATGGACACAATCTTCTCCCGCACGTCACCCTCCACAAACACCCCCTCGCACTGCACCTGTCGCGCCGGCAAGCAGGCAGGCACGCAGGGAGGCACACAGGGAGGAGGGGAGGGGAGGAGGGCGTTAGTAGAGTAGAGGAAGGTAGACGAGGCGGGGAGGAGAAAGTGGATCAATGGGGCGGGAGCGGAGAGGGGTTGTGTGGTGAGGGAGAGGGGAGCAGCTGACCTGTTTGTCCGTCTCCTGGCACATCTGCCGAGAGCGCTCCATGAGCCCGTCCAGCACCTGGGAGTCACGGCCACTGGCGACAGAGCGCGCAAGAGAAAACACGCGCAACAGGAGCGGAAGAGAAAACACGCGCAACAGGAGCGGAAGAGAAAACAGGAGGACAGAGGGGAATGAAATGAAGGAAGCAGGCGCGACATCCCTCCTGCGCGACATCCCTCCTGCGTGACATCCTCAGCGATTCAGATCGTTCACGTGCAAAAGGATTCGGCATTCTCAAGACACTTGCTGCTGCACTTGCCTTTCTCAAGCGCACTGGGCTCTGTTCTCGTCCTTTCCTTTCTTCCTCATACCTGGCTGCACGGACGGGTCCTGTACGCACAGCAGCAGCACCGTGTCCTCGCCCTCTGACGCCACGTGGCCTATGGTCCACCGTAAGGCTGTGCGCGAGCCACGTGTCTCGTCCATCGCAACCATTATGCGCTTTCTGCGAACCGCGACAGAGTCTGAAGTCGCCATGGCTTTAACGAATGACCGCCAAGGTCAGGGCTTCAAGAGAGAAAAACGTGTCGGATAACAATGTGTCTAAATCTTGTATCAGCAGAAGTCGACACTTGTATGTATATCTTCCCTCCAGATAGAGCAGCTGACTGACGCTTTCGATCTTGCGCAATCCACTCCACACGCACAAGCAGTGTGTGTAAAAGAAGCACAAAATATGGAGTCTTGGTCTCGAGGCACACGAGCAAAGCGACACGCAGGAACAATTTCAAGTAGCGTAGTGAGGACCAAGGTCAGTGACACAAGACAGGGAGAGTTGGCAAGCACGACAGCAGGGCTGCGAGGGATGTCATGGGGCTGGATAGAATACAACTTCATAAGCCCGCTCATAGTACTATTATACATAAGTAAGAAATGCGACAAGGCCAATTTTGTGATAGCACCATGTTGAAATTTATGTATGGAAGGAAGAATACAACCTAACTTTTTCTAATTATTCACTACGGAGTTGACTCAACCTCTACATCGTCCTCTCATTCAGCACGCAGGAGTGCTGAAAAACACGTTTAATATGGATTGCGATAATAGGGAGAAATTAATTGGTGTGTGTAAAAAAGCAAATCAAGTGCAAAACTCATGTAAAACTAATTGATACGTATATACTGTTATGAGATCTTGGGAGTTTCCTTTTGTACCAAGTGATGACTGCACAGAAACGACTTGTTCGGTTTTGTTCAAGGCGGATCGCAGGTTGAGGAGCTTGTGACAATAACCCGTAAAGTTGAGCAGCCAAATGCCACGTCTGCACTCTGCTTGACAACTTTGGTGCCGAGCGACAATGTCGTGGTCGCAGACTTTCGCAATCTTAGGACCATTTTCATCAGAAGTCCTATTGGTCCGCCCCTCCCCAAAACCACCAGCTCGCCGTTCCGTCGCACGCACGTCAAACCCAAGGACCTGTCCGTCTGTCGCGAGCTCTCGTCAGGGGTCGCCAGGGAGCTGGGCAGGCACCACCAACCACTCTGTGATCAGAAGAGCCGCCAACCTCCCGCACTGCCCCATGCTTTCCTCCGCGGCACCTCCTGCAGCACGCGCACGCAAACTGACTTCCGCTGTTGTCTTCCGCCGCAAGGACAGTTTTTGCGCGGAGCTCAGCGGATGAAGCTGCGTGCGAAGCGTAGCTCTGAGTGCTGCTGGGTGAGGTGCTTTTCGGGTCAGAAGGATCAAATATTTCACTTACACAAAAAGTTACACTTAGGACGCCCTGAAAGCAGAGGAAGGCAGCCGTCTAGGTTCCCCCAAAGCCCAAAGGGAACACTCCCAGCCCGCCCCTCGTGATTTTTGGTCCGCCTGCCCGTTCCCCGCAGTGGCGAGATTCGGGATCGGGGGAAGCAGGAACGAGGGGGAGGGGGAGCTCTCCTCCGTGCGCCCTCACGCGCGCACCCGACCCAACTCCCGCTCTCCGCTTCGCTCTCCGCTCCGCTCTCCGCTCAAGCTCTCCCCCATGCGCTGGGCCTTCTCCTCTTTCACAACACTCTGGATCGCTGTTCCGCTCTGCCCTGCTTAGCTCTGCTGTGCTCTGCCCTGCTTAGCTCTGCTTTGCTCTGCCTGATTAGTTCTGCTTTGCTCTGCCCTCTGCTTGTGATGTGACCCCTGAGCCTGTGAGGCAGAGGGTGAAGCTTGTGCTTGCCTTGTTTGACTGGGTTGGTGGTTCATTTGTCCGCCTAACATCCTCGTACACTACGCCTAGTACATCTAGCCCACGAGCACAGGTCCTCTATTATGATTATAACGGGTCCAGAGGTGCAAGCAGTGGGAGGCAGGTCCTCGGGCTCCTAGGCATCCTACAGCTGACCAACCAGCGAATAATAAGAACCCCCCTCGCTCTTAGTTCAAACTAAGCCCGCCTTATTCTTCGTAACCACTAACATTTTCCGCCGGCTGTCCTGCAGCCATACAGCTCACATTCAGATGCAACCCTTTACCTTGGCTGTGCTAGATTATAGAAGCATCTCCTGTACAACCGAGATTGTAAAATCTAACCTAACCCGCGTGTCCGTCAAATGCCGTGCGGTACTTCACCCGTGCGGCGCTGTTGCCTACTAAGGCAACCGCGCTCCATTCTTCCGCCGCGATAGCTGTCCGTAACGCTGGCGCTCCTGGTACACGGCAACCGCATTAATAGTCGTGCACTCTCTTAGTGCTCTTCAGTAACCTGTCGCCGGGTTTCTCGGCTACCTCCGGTTTCCGATACGCTTTCCTGCTACTGGTCACCTTTTTAGCGTCGTAAAGTTCAAAACAAGGCACCTTTTGCACATTAACGGCCAAGGACAGAGCTGTAGTCTGATCTTATCTATTTGAAACTCTTCCTGACTCTTCCTCTTCGTGTGCGTCAAAGGAATTGGTTAAACCGTCCGTACCGCTGCGTCACCATGGGGGCGATGACGTCATCTTTAGCGGCGAAATTCGCCTTTTTCCGCCAACCCCGCCGTCATACGCGATCGTGAAAGACCCGAGCACTGGACGGCTGCGATTCGACAGCATCGCGCCGCAGGACCACGTGGACGTGCTGCTGATTGACACGCGGCGGAGACAGCAGGTGGCGGCGATGTTCGTCCGCAATCCCCGCGCGCGACTGACGCTGCTGTACTCGCACGGCAATGCGGCTGACCTGGGACAGATGCATGACCTCTACGTGGAGCTCGCGCACATGCTGCGAGTTAATCTCATGGGGTGAGCCTCGAGACCTCCCCCCCCCCCTCCCCTCCCCTCCCCTCCCCCCACGCCTTCCCTTTCCCCCGTTCCCCGTCCTTCCTTATCTCTCTCTCCCTCGGTCCTGCTGTCCTACTCTCGTGGTAAAATGATGTGGTTTTGCAAGTATCAATTGTGCAGCTGGAACCCTCATCTCACACCCCCGTCTCTTTCATCTGGAGCCTATGCTTCCTTAAGAGGTCCAATTTACTTTCTGTCTACAAGTCCTCTTGTCCATTCTTGTGCTTTTTAACCGCTTCTCACCTCCCTCCCCCATTTGACCCTCCCTTTGCCGTCCCCATTCCCCTCCCGACATCCTGTCCTTTCCCGTTTCTTAGGTCCCTCCTTTGTATCCCCCCCTACCCCTCGTCTCCCCTCCCTCTATGCTTCACTTGCCCTCTCTCTTCTCTCCCTTTCCCCCTCTTACATCCTCAATCTTCCGTCGACTCTCTTCCCATCACACGTTTTGCCACACCAGGTACGACTACACGGGTACGGCGCCTCTACTGGCAAGGTACGTTCTTTCCGGCAAGGTACGATGGTACTTTACACGGGGGGGAGTAACAGAAGCACGGGTGCGCTTGCTGTTAAGGTATATTCGCTGCCCTTTAACCGGGTACTGCTGCTTTCAGCCTCCATTGTGTTATCCGTTGGACAGCTGTTTGCGACTTCTTCCCCGATTCTCTTCTGACCGCCTCGATTCTCTTCTGACCGCCTCGATTCTCTTCTGACCGCCTCGATTCTCTTCTGACCGCCTCGATTCTCTTCTGGCCGCCTCGATTCTCTTCTGACCGCCTATATTCTTTCCTATTCGCCGTCATCCTCGTCCTCTCAAGCCATGTTTGGGGCCGCGTCACGCCAACGCGTGGATTCGTGAGCACCCACCGGCGATTCTCCGCGTTCCCGCCTGCTGCCCCGCCCTGCTCAACCCCTCTCCGGCCCTCTCCCTTTCCTCCCCCCTCCCCCATTCCCTCTTCCCCCGTTCTCTCCCCCTTCCCTCCACCCCCCCCTCCCCCCTCCTTCCCCTTTCCCCTTCCGCAGCCGTCGGAGGCGGACACGTACGCGGACGTGGAGGCGGTGATGACGTGTCTGCAGCAGCGATACAGCATCGGCGCGGAGCAGGTGGTGCTGTACGGGCAGAGCGTGGGCAGCGGGCCGACGGTGGACCTGGCGTCGCGCACGCCCAACGTGCGCGGCGTGGTGCTGCACAGCCCCATCGCGTCGGGCGTGCGCGTGCTGTACGAGGTCAAGCACACCTACTGGTTCGACATCTTCCCGGTATGCTGTCGCGTCTGCTTCTGTGCTGTGTCTGTGCCTGTGCCTGTGCCTGTGGGTCTGTCTCTGTGTCGGCGGATTGGGGGTGGATTGATGGCGTGTGTGTGTGTGTGTGTGTGTGTGTGTGTGTGCGCGCGCGAGTGTGTGTGTGCGTGTGTGTGTGTGTGTGTGTGTGCGTGTGTGTGTGTGTGTGCGTGTGTGTGTGTGTGTGCGTGTGTGTGTGCGTGTGTGTGTGTGTGTGCGTGTGTGCGCGTGTGTGTGTGAACATGTTTGCGTTCTGTGTCGCGTGTGTCATGCCATGTGTGGTTGACCGTACTGGGCGCGCACATGTGCGGCTGCGTCAAGTACTGTGAACAGACCGGGCTGGGCATCTCGTGGGAACGAAGAACAGGGAGGCGGATCAAGCTGATGCGCGCAAGAGCGAACGGAAAGCGAACAATTTGACGAACGCAACGCACAGATCAAAGCGGAGTTTTATCCCACGACGATGGGGTTAACTCAGAAGAGCGGGAATGGGGGAAGGGGGGAATCAGGGAAGGTGGGAAGGCGGGAAGGAGGGAAGGTGGGAAGGTTGGAAGGAGGGGGGCAAGTGCTTAGCAAGGGTCGAGAACCTTGTCGCAGCAAGATGCGTTTTTTTCATCATGCCCGCGCTCTGTGCTGTGTCTGCCACCTGCTGTGCGCTGCCGTGTCTTCCCCGCCCGCTTCCCTCCCTCCCTCCGTGCGTCTACGTGCACAGAACATTGACAAGCTGCCGAAAGTGGAGTGTCCAGTCTTCGTCATGCATGTAAGTCTTTGTTACGCTCGCCCGCTCGCCGCCCCTCGCTCGTTTCTTCCTCCTAGACTCATTGCCTTGCCCATCTACTTGTCGGTTGTCCGTCGGTCGTTCATAAGACACAGTGAACCCGAGAAAACACATCCAAAGGAACTGTCTGGTATATGCTGGTGCGCAGTTGTTGTAAAAACCCCTCACACTTCCGTTCTCCCTCCTGCCGTCCCTCCTCCTTTCCCTTTCTCCTCCAATCCGATCCCGTTCGCTCGCCCCTGTCCCCCTGATCCTTCCCTGTCTCCCCCCCCCTGTCCCCTTCGCCCCCCTGATGCACGTCGGACGAAATGCTGGTGAGTGCTTGCAATCCAACGCACGCCTCATGTGCCACCTCTCGCTCCTCCCGTTTCACCCTCAACTCCCCCCTCGCCCTCCACCCCCCCCCCCTCCCCACACGGCCGCAACGGACGAGGCGAGGGATGTGTCGCACGGGCAGATCCTGGTGGACGCGTGCAACCAAATG